AAGAAAGAAAGAAAGAAAGAAAGAAAGAAAGAAAGAAAGAAAGAAAGAAAGAAAGAAAGAAAGAAAGAAAGAAAGAAAGAAAGAAAGAAAAGGAAAGATAGAGCATTGGGGCCAGGGGTGTAGCTCACCGAAGACGGCATGCCTGGCAAGTATAAAGCCTAGATTCCAACACCAGCACCACGTAATAATAATAATAATAATGAGGATGATGATGATGATAACAACAACAAGAAGAAACAAGAGAAAACTGGCTCTTGCTAACATGCTCACAAAGAACATCTGATTTTCAGAAACAGACCTTTGACACTATGGAGTCTCCTATAAACGAAATGATGAAATATTAAGTGTCAGGGGAAATCGAGTAATTTTATCTTAAAGAAAAAATGTTTCAAAATATAAAAAAAATAAGGCAAAAGCAAAATAACTAGATACAAGAAATTGTGAAAAGGCTGCAGAAAGAAATTTACTTGCCTTGGAATATGAGATCTGCAAATAATAACTTCTGAAAAGAAGAAATAAGCCGTGTTTAAAAAAAAAAATTGGCAAATTTGGCTTAATTCTGACAGGCCTTTTTTTTAAGCTTTCTCTGTCAAATATTATAGTAACAACAGACTGGAAGTAGGTTTTGTCACTGCTAAAAAACAAACTGATCTTACTGTTTTCAGCCCTTTCTTAAAACAAGGCCGCAACATTCGTTTTGTTGTTTTGGGGTTTTACGAGATGAGAGCTTCTCTATGTTGCCCATGCTGGCCTGAAACTCATGGGCTCAGACGATCCTCCTGCCTCAGCCTCCTGAGTAGACAGAACTACAGGAGTATGCAACCCACAACACCTCACAGAAAACTGTTCTTAATCTTCTCTTCAATGTGAGGGGGGATTATGCACCTTTCCAAAATATTTCTTTAATGTACTGCTGATTTTATTATGCTATTTGTGATTAATAAAAAATACAACTTCATTTCATCTGAAAGAGCCAGGTTTCCTTATACTTGCATTAGCTCTGCTATTTTATTTTAAACATTAAAATTAATCAGTATTTTACTGGAATTAATATGAGCATATGTATTAATATTCCAAATATTAAAATAAAAATATAATTTCTTAACCTTAGGCCCTCTGGGCAGCACCCTTGATAAGTGAGCAACCTCTCACTTCCTTGCATGGTAAGATTAAATCCAGAAAAATGAAAATCTCCTATCTTTCTTCTCAACTCGGGATTTCTTATAGAGTCTTTGACAATCACAAAGATTAATTCCCTTACCATATTAAGACCGGGGCTACTGAAAATAGTTAAATTTGTTTGGTATCCTCCATACTTTTTAATTAGCTCAGCACCATTGTGAGAGTTACATAAGAAGAGAAGTGGAACAAGTGCATTCATTTTCTTCAAGAAAATGTTATTTAAAACTGTCTGAGATAATTCACTTTCCTGAAGAACCTCGAGATCTGCAAATAGCCTAACTGCGCAGATATACTGACTATTAGGGAAAACAGTAACAGAATTCCTACAAAACAATACTGTGTCCTGATAAAGACTGTTATTTATTTATGTACATGTTTGCGGCACACAATTTTACACCGTTTGTGCAGAGCTGGTCCATGGACCTAACACATCTTCATTCCTTTTTTTCCGAGCTTCCCATCCCTTCTCTCTGTCTATTGATCCACTCCCTATAGAGAAAGGTCCAACTCCTTACTTTTTGTTATCTTCTCTATGCTGATGTTATTTGGTGCTGAAATCAATTAACCACAACTATTCAGTCATTCAGCCCATTTAGCATTCTTCACTTCTGCCATACTTGTCTGAAGGCTCCGTTATAAACTACGGGCTCTACACATGGTGTCTTCAAACATGGCTGTGGGGAAAGGACCAGGCCAGGTACTTTTGACTGCGATGGCTTCACCAGCCAGCCTTCCTGATACAAGCCTCCGAGGTGACGTGACACACCAGTCACACTGCATCCCAAATGCCAAGCGACCAAGAATTATTTAAGCATAACATTATGAACTGACAAAATGAATGTAATTAGGTCATTTGTTTGGAAGATGATCAGTATAATTTTAATGTTCTATTTTCTAACTGGTATATGATAAAGTTCTTTATACTTCTTGATTTAACTTCAACTGAACTTTAAACGACATTTTGCCTCAACTGATCCTTCAAAAATTCAAGAATACATTTTTTCTGTGTTTTTTGTTAACTTTTAATGGCAATGTAGACAACAAGACAAATATAAGAATCTGTCTTCTTTTCACCAGAACATACTTTGACAAATCAATTGTGCGACCAAATTGTTTGAGTTTTATGGAGCATTATGTTTAAGAAGACCTTACCGAAATGAGAGTAACAACGCCAAAGAAACAAACACTATATTTCACATGTGAAGCCAATCGATAGTTACATAGCCCTCATAGTAATTGGATTGCTACCTAGTCTAAGTTTATAAGGTCCCAGCCCGAGGGGAAGTCAGAAAGGAGAAGAAAGGTCAATTCCTGGCAGTCTAGGATGCTCAGGTGGATTTAAGAGAGAAAAGTAAAAGAAATCCATCTACATTTATAAACACTTCAGGTGAATCACTTCTGATGGAGTTGAAAGCTTTGCGTTTGGTTTCTTTGCTTCAGAACAGAAGATAAATAGAAAACTTTTTTTTCCCAAAACTTTGAAGTAACAGAGGCTACTGAAAGTATAATCTTAGATTAGTCTGCCACATCTGTAACAGACAGTACTGTTAGCTGCTCGTCTCACACCAACCCATCTTTAGTATCACCTGTCTGGCCACCCACAGGGGACAATGGCGCCTAACTCTGCCTCAGATTCACACTGGGTAGGAGAATGGTGACCCAGTGGCCAAGCCAACATGGCGGCCTCGTTCTGTTGAGTGGTTTAAGCATGAGCCTGAGAGATGATGTTGGCCAAAGAGACAAGATGATAAATCAGTTCATGGGTACCTCAAAACGTTGTGTGTGTGACAGAGAGAGAGAGAACATAGATAAAAAAGACACATTCAAAACATAATTTTCAAATAGTCAAACTTGCCATGCTAGTTTCCTACTGAAATTACCACACTGGATTGGGGATGAGGGTGTGGGTCAACAGTAAGGTTCCTGCCTGCCAAGTGGAAGCCCTTGGGTTGGGTTTGAGACTCAGCTCCACAGACTACAGACCACACACACACACACACACACACACACACACACACACACACAGAACAATTTGGAACTATCCTGATTCATTATATTTTTATAAACCTTTAAAAAGCAATTCAGTATCTCTCCACTCTGGGTTGTTAGGTAAAGATTTCATAACACTGAAGGCCTTCCTAAGTTGCTGTGTGATCTAACCATGTAAAAGAGGCACCTCAAAGTATATCTCAGGGAATAATTACCTCTTTGGGGGAGAGAAAAGAAGCACAAATTGGGTTTGAAAACGAACAGTCCTCCAAGACTTCAAAGCATTTTGTATACGTAATGAAAACCTAATATAAAAGTATAACTATCTATTTTTCACAAAATTAACTTTATGAGATTGTACTATCATATATGTTTTAATTAATTGCTAATTTAATTACAACCATTTGTTGTTTTTGTATGTCCTTATTTTTCAGGTATTCTGATATTTGAAAAATAATAGCCTTGGAAAGGAAGACAAGACCAACTCATCAGGAGACAAGTTTATTTTTGGAAAGGAAAAGTATAAGATCGTAACTGCACTTCCAGTCACATTCCTACCAGGGGAAAGTAATTTTGTTTCTTTGGACGATGTATTGATTTTACTTTGTAGATTAAGGTGATTGTGTACACTTTGAAATTATTCTGTATTCTTATCTGTAATTCATTTAGGACGTAGAAGTTCTGCAGCACTGAGTAACCCCCCCCCTCCCCGCCCCCCCTTCTGTCTCTTCCTGTCCCTCTCCCTCTCTTAATACCAAGCTGTTTTTCCTCTTTGAGATATACTGGGACATATCTAACTTAGATACATTATGTACCTGAAATGTCAGGTAAAAAATTCCTGCCTCAGCATGCCATTTCCTTCCTCTGTAATTTAGACATTCTTCATGCTGCATTTATGTCCATAAAGGTAATAGTCCTTACATTAAAAACCAGCTCTCATTTAGTGGTTCAACCTTCAGAGAGTCCATTACAGCCTTTCACTCCATCCCCCTGCACTGCCTCTAACACTCACTGTTATTTTAATAAGCAACTCAAATGCGGGAAACTATCTTCCCTGTGCTCTGGCAAAAACACCAACGGGCACATGATAACATGGTTTGGAAGAGCGTACTGAACTAAGCCCATAATTCTTGTCCTGAAATACACTGTTACAAACACAGTCTTAAAATTATTTTCAAACCGTAGACTTTAAGCTGAGTGCTTTAGTCCACACGTTTTGCTTCGAGCATACATGCTCTAATGAGACAGTGGATAATATATGTTTTGAAAGCTTTGCTTAGACACACATGCAGGAAGTGCTCATCAAATACCTAAAAATAACACACAGGTAAACCAAGGAGGACCACAGCCCTCGACAGGGGAAGAGATCGCACTGCGGAAACCTTGAAGCTCAGTGGCAGTTCTAAGGGTAGCAAATCTTAGCTCTCATTTCCCATGGAGACTGAGAGACACTCACTTAGACCCTTGAAACTCTAGAAAGAGATGGTGCTTTTGATGAAATGGTAGAAGATTACACTGTTCACTACACAGTGCATGTACACGTCCACAGCAAAGTCAAGAAAATGTATGAGCTCAACTAGCATGGCAAAGCTGGGGGATCTGTTGCAAGAATGACTTTGATATTAGAAAGACGTAAGTTCAAATTCTGTCCCTGGATGGCTCTAGGATGCTATTGCAGGAAGGTACAAAGGAAGCAGGTTCTGAGGCCATTGGTTGTTTTGATGATTTTTATGTATTTGAGTGCTAGAAAGGACTATTTTTCTTAAAAAGAGAATTGTATTGGTTTAAAAATATGAAAATTATTGAACAAAGCATATCTTTCAGATGGAATCTTGGGCAGCTGCAGGTTCCTTAGAACCTACCTTGCACAGTATACTGTGGTTTGAGGTTTCCCCATCTGTGTTCCAGAACTGACTGATGCTAAGTCCTCCCTTTCTTTCTGGTTCCCCTTCCTTCCTTCCCCTACCATCCCGCATGACTGCTGCGCACATTCATTGTTAAGTATTTTCAAATAATTTTATTTTTACTAAGTAGTCAAATACTTAATATATTAATTTTTAAAAGACACACGTACTAATTTTGGATGTGTTTACAAACAATGCTCATTAGATGACAAAAAGACAATAAAACAACATGTTGGCCTGATTTTCTCTATTCTCTAAGATTAAAATTAGCCATAATATTAAGAACTTTCATCACCAAACTACATCCACACAACTTTATTCTACTGCTGTCTGTCATATATTTTTCTGGCAGATGTGTTGTCAAATAACTCTATTAATTCAAGCTGTGTGAGAGTTTTGGCAATTATTCTGTAAAAAACACAATATTAGGCAAAGTGATCCATTAATTTTAATGTGATTGATAATCTCAGAAAAAAAACTATAGGATAGAAATAGTTACATCAAATCCTCCCTTGAAATCTCTTCTCAGATGTATTCAAATGTGGTGCATGACATATATATTATTTATTTTAATACATAATCACTTCCTACAAAACTAAGAAGCTAGTACCATGGAGTAGAAAACTTAGCTAAAATTTTATTACTGATAAGTGTTAGATGCTTCCAGTGGTGGATCGATGTTTTCTTTATTTTTCACCACATTTAAAAGAAAGCCAGGTACAAAATCATGTGACCCATGCACACTTCCTGTTGAATACAGAAGCACACTGGATCTCAGTAAATAAATATTTGAAGAAGACAAGCCTTATTTTAACAACCTGGCTAATCATTCATGCTTAAAATCTAAGAAAACAATATTCACTTTTAAAACTAACAAGTTAGCTGGGGATTTAGCTCAGTGGAATTGTGCCTGGCTGGCAAGCATAAAGTTCTGAGTTTGATTCTCGATATCAAAAATAAAATAAAATAAAAGTAACAAGTTAATATAAAGACACATTTCTTAATGACATTGTCTTTCTCTTCCTTCTGTGAGTAATCCCATTTGCTTCCTGAAGTTTAGCTTGGAGCCTGGCACAGGGCAGGACTGAGATGCAGTAGGGACCTTACACCAGTGAATCACACCTCACTAAATTTTATAAGAGGAGAAATGGTTTCTCACTTCAATCTTCAGGTTAATTTAATGAAAAAAGGGTTTTGTATTTTATAATATATACAATGTGTGCATTTTAAACTGGGAACACTGCACCATAATTTACATTATCAATTAAAGTACCAGCTTGAAGGTGGAATATAATGTAGTCATAATTATAAATACCGTCAAACGAGTTCTCTAGAGACTAAACTAAAATTCAATTAATCATTTTATAAAAACTTACTAAAATGGAAAAGCAGTTATAATTACAATGAAAGATAAATGCATTTAACTGTCAATCCCGATCCCTACCCTCTGATCTAAAACAGAACATATAGTAAAATGGTCAAGTGAATCTGTTTCATGAAGTCATAAAAGAGTATTTGACAAATAAGGTCATGGACACAGATGTATTTGAGATCAAAGAACAATTTCTAGACCCACAAAGCATCTCTCACTGTGAGTTTGTGTTGTTTGTTCATATAATAGATTTTTGGAGAAATAGAAAATTGGTATTAATTTGACAAACAATAGGAAGACAGAAAATTTTCACAGGTAATCTTTCTTGCATCGATAATAATTATATATATATATATATATCCAAAATAAATACGTGATATCATTTATAAAGACAAAAGCCCAATATTAATAATTATACGAAGGTCTTCTAATTAGATTACAATATGAACTCCACATAACACTTGTGAAATGGGATTTTAATTCAATTTTTAACATGAGAAAACTAACTTTATCATTTGAACACTGACCAAATTATTTTAAGACTTACATTTCAGAAGTTTGTCTTGTTTAATCAAAGATGGAAAAACATGGCATATACTGAGAAAGATACTGTGGTCTAATAAATGAACAGGACACATAAAAATGGTACTATAACATCAGCAACTGCAATGTGTACAAAGTGCAGGAGGGGCACAAAAGGAACTTAAGAGTTCTAAGCCAGTTAGGAAAATCTTCCGAAAGCAAATGAAAATTCTGTAGAACTAGCAAGAATGGGTAGAGTCTAGTGAATGAAAAAGTGGACAAAGAAATATTTAAGCAGAGATAAGGAGACCCAGAAAGGCCAAAGATATCAAAGACCACAAAATTTTCTTGTGTGTGGAGGAGGATCCAGTATGGCTAGAAAATAAGTGTTTGGACTCATCAGAAGTTAGTTTCCTGTTATGTATCCTTATTTTAATGTATAACATTTCAAGTATTGCTGTAGTTTCCCAATAGTAACCTTGTGAGCAGTTGCTTTATTGCTTGTCACTTTTTATTAATATATAGGAAGCACAGAAAAGCGCACCACTCAGCATCTGATGGCTCAGTGAACTTAGTCAAAGGATATCTACGAACGCACCATGCAAACCAAGAAACAGAACACCACCAGCATCCAGAGCCTCCTCTATCCCACGGTCCCAGACTCTCCTGCAAGTCACAGTCCCGGACTTCCAACTCCTCAGTGTGTTCTGCCTGCTTTGGGAATGTACACAAGTGGATACAACACATACTCTCTCGTGTCTGGTTTTGTGTATAGCAGACGTCTGTTTGCTTATGTTGCCCTGTAAGACTGTGTCGCATAATTCCATATTTAGTTGTCCACTGCACTAGCAACAGGAATTAGGGCTGTTTTTGGCTGTGACTCTTTTAAATGCTGATGATGTAAAGCCCTTTGCCTGTGTCTTTTGGTAACAACGTGTACCAAGTTCTGCTGGGCTCACGCTCCCAAGCCGACTGGCTGGCCACTAGACTGCAGGAAGTGTCACACAGATTACCATGGTGATAGCAGTATACAAGGGTTTTACTCCATCCACTTTCTCACCAGCCCTGGGCTCAGGACTGTCACCTTTCCAGTGAGTGTGTTAATAGTTTCTCATTATGGCTTTTAATTTCCATATTATTGATGACTATTTTGAATACATAGTTATATTACCATGTATGACCAACAAAGTACTCATTCTTTTCCGTGCTATTTTTAAACATAGTAAGTGGGCCTTTTAGCCACTGTCATTGTCCTGTAACAAAAGTAATGTGTGGGGCTGGAACCTGCTGCAGAGCATTTTAAGCAATTTTCGATAGCACTGTATGTTCTCCAGAGGAAGAATTATTTTATTCCTTTACGCTTCCCTTCTTCACATCTTCATTCTTTTATTCTAAACTACTCAATCACCCAGTATTTCTTTTTCTCCTCTAATTCCCAGTCCAAAAAGAGTCAACAGAGAGAAGTCAGTTAACAATGTCCAGCCACACAGAGTTCAATATTAAGTTTTCATCAGAGAGATAACTTGTTATGATACAGCAACCAAGTGACTGGGCATTTTGTTTTGTTTTCGTTTGTATCTTCAGTAAACAGAAAAAGTAAACATGCCTGCCCTTTTATTTGAAAAAGAAAGGGTTACTTATAAAATTTTAATACAATAAATTTAAATGTTTCCTTTTGCCAACTTAGGGGTAGATAAAGTTCACTCAGCACTTTAAGGGATTATCATAAAAATAGTATCACTTGTAAAAAGAGAAGGAAAAAGGTGATTTCTCTCACGTCCCTTCAGACTAAAGATAGTTACATGCAGCAAAAATAAAGTGCGGTGACCTTTCTCCATCCTCTGCATAATTAATTGCTTAATGGCCTATTAATTGGACGATGTGGGTGAAACTCAAACACTTTCATTTTCTGTGCATGTCATCTTTGACTGTAACCCCCGGTGAAGCTGCACATGAAAGGTGAGCCCACAAGGTCATCCGAGTGGCATCTCTTCAGTTATTCATCACCCACCATCAACAGCAATTAACAATGCCAACATTTCCATAAATCAATGTCTTTCTGATTATTCTCTGATGATAAACAGTCAAAATGTGTGCATTCTGGCCCGCTCTCTTTAATTTTACATGAAAAGTTCAGTCTAAATATACTGCTGAGAAAATTCATCTTAAATATTACAATAGTTTCTTTAATTAAAATGCTCCAGGAAAATAAGGTTATGTACCTTTGGAGGAAAAATAGAAACCAATGCACAAAACTAAATGAGTCTGCTGACAATGCAGGGGTCAAACATAAGAAGCAAAGGTTGTCAACCACAAGTACCAATTCATCCTTCTGCAAAGAAAATTAAAGTGCAGTCCATCCTCAGAAATAACCATTCATCCGCTCAGCCAAGGAAAGTGACAATTTAGAATAACACAGATTTAACTCATGTACACGTCAGTGGGCAGACCGATAAAAAGGAACAACTTTGCAAAGGGGGTGTGTTTTCTCTATTCCTCTACAATGGAAATGAACTCCTCAGATTTCAACTGCCTTGTGTATTTGTCATATGTTATTGTTTACTGTTGATGCTTTTTCTGTTTTTATAAATCATATGAATTAGCAAATTCAAGGATGCTATTGATAAATTTATTTTTGGTCAATCACAAGAATTGACATTTTCATTCCTAATGGTTATGTCTAAAATTGTCAGTTTATGCTCAGTTTTGGAAGGATTTTCTGAATTTATAGAAAAATTATCAGTAATTTTACATCATCAAGACAAAACACTAAAATATATTTTACAACATCATTAGTACTAGAAATTCATTCAGTACATCAATTTTATGATTGTACTTTCTAATAACATAATCATAAATCTTATATTGTTTTATATAACATAATTATATTCTATATTTGTTTAATTATGTGCTTCATTCTAAACTTTGGAAGGAAAAGTTAGTTCTCTTTAGTATTGCATTTAAAATTCCTAGTTACATTTGTAATTTTTACTATTTAACAGTTATTGTTAAACACAGTAATCAGAATTAGTTCCAAACTAATATACACTAGCACAAATATTACATAAAATGGGATTTATATACTGATATGTTAAATTTGTTGTTCAGAAGTAAGAGAAAATGCAAAGCAGACTGTCATAAATAATTACAAAATATATTTCCTCATGAAATCAAAAGCCAAAAGAAAAGACAAAGTTTAGGTAAGCAATGAACAGGTCTCTGCTGTACTTCTGTATATTTCACTCAGAAAATACCTTCTCCTTCTGACAATGTCTTCCAAATGCCCTTCCTGTTAAGCATGGCCATGCTCAGGACCAGTGGGAGAAGAGAATGCGCAAGAGCAGTTGTTCCCCCCAGCCTGTTCAGGTCAAACCTATGTTATTTAATTGAGTAGGTACCAAAAGAGTTAATCTCACGTTTAAGATGTTTAAAATACATTGTATTTCTTTGGTTGTTTTTTTTTTTGGTCATCATTCTCATTTTTTATTAAGTAGCAAAAACACAATTCTGTAATATATGATTATAAATTGCAAAGACAAGTAACTACAGTACAATGAGAATTCTTGAAAAAGGCAGGGTTATATGAAGTTATTGAGGGAAGGGCAAAGAGTACTTTAAGACTCTTAGTTGTGGCGAAGCAGCATAATGAATTAGCTTCCTTTAGAAAACTGTTATGATATATTATATACTAGTGCCTATTCTCATATCTAAAATAAGGGCTACATAGTCTGCAGCAATGCCCCCAACAATGAGTAAAGGTAATGGTACTCACCTTGAGGCATTTCTGGTGGCAGATAATGGGGTTCTTGAGCACTAACGTGAACCCACTCGAAGTCATCATAGAGATCCTGGTGGTAATCACAGGCCCCTGGTCCATCATCAAAAGTACAGCCACCTAGAAAGTAAAAAAAGCCCACTGTTACCATCGAAATAAATGTTCGCAAAATGAGAAAGCACTGGAAAAGCCAATTGGTGCTGAAATGCATGTGACACATAATTTTAACAACCAATGGTATTCCTGTTTATCATGACTCTGTTTAAATTTTCACATCAAAAGCAATGCCTATCAGCATATTCTACTTGAGTAAGGAACCAGTTTGAGTCTTAGAAGGGAGGCTGAAGCACTGACTTGAATAATTAAGAAAGAAGCAGAAGATAGGCCGACAGTGAGGCTCTCCTAAAAAAAATTAAGCACCTAGAATCTAAACAGTTTTAGCAATTCTACTGGAGAGAAGAGGAGGAAGAATGAAAAACAGGTTTGTAATTCTAGTTCCCCAAAAAAGATGTTTAACTCTTACAAAATCCATTGCCTTAAAAAGATCTATGCAAGATACACATGGTAACAAATGAAACATGGAACTTCATAAGATCCTCAGTGTTGGAAGTGTGTAAGATACTCTTCCATACTTTATTTCATTTGGTACCAGAGATGGAACTCGAAACCTTGTGCTTGCAAGGCAGGCAGTGGAACCACTGAGCTAAATCCCCAGCTCTTCCATACTTTATTTAGATTACCTTCACACACAGATATGATTTAAGCAGAGAATCAATCAGATTAGCCTCTAATCACTCTCACCACTTCTACCTCATTTAATAATCTGTTTTATAAAATGGAAGTAGTCTCTCCTCCTTTTCGGTCAGCCCCCACCCCCACCCCCAGGTTTTATTTTCAAAGGTAATTATATAGCAGAAGCAGAATGATTACTTTTGTTTTTTAACCCACAGGTACAGGCACACATAAGTCAAAGCATTTAGTTTATTCAAATCATGAAAATAAGAACTGGCCTATATTTCTGATCTTGAAAGAAAATGGATTACAACTAATGAAAATCCAGTAGTGGCTTTAATGAGAAAAACCAATAACCTGTCTTCTTTTCAAGCAGCTTATTTGTTTAGTTTCCATGGGGATCCAAGTGGAGAAACTCAGTGAATTCTCTGCAATAACAGGCAGAGGGGTGGTAAACTTCAGACCTTTAAACTCCTGTCACTCAGCATCAAAAGTTTGTGGATCTGAATAAGAACAAATGTCACATTCTGTCCAGTGACAGAGAGAAGCCAGGGTCAGAGGCAAAACACTACATCAAAGATTTGGGGAAGGTAACACAGCCCTAAAATCCTTTTCAAAAGCAAAAATGTGTATTCTTGAATCGTACGATTACCCAGTTCCTTTAAAATTACCCAAGCTTCAGCAGCTGGAAAATTTTATATTGTTTTCAAAATATACTTATAATAGCCTTTTTTTCTTATAAATGTGCTCATGAAAAAAATGATGTCTTTTTTAATTTAAAAATAATCAATGAAAAGTCACTAGGAAATGCATAGGGAAAAGTTTTTCTCAAAAATATAATTACCTATCACAAAACTAAAATGACTCATTGCTTTGTACCACAGTCCTATGTATACAAATTGAAACGCCAGTGGAAAGCACACTGACTCATCTAGAAGACAAACAGCTTTAAATTGCTGTCCTTAATACTCACTGTTAATTTTAAACTGTGGGATTCTGATTAACCATAACAACAAAAAGTAAATGTACAAAATGAGAGGGTCAAGGTCACACTTGGGCCACATCAGAAACTTGTCAAAAGCGTCTTGAAAATCATTACGGATCTACTTGACTTGTGTGATAAAAAATTAAATTATTAGGAGATGAATTTTAAGTAGGAATTTACAAGATGCTCCAATTCAAGAGATGTCGTGTGTCTATTTACAACACATATACCACATTTATAAATCACCGGCAAAAGATTTTTACAAGTACTTCTGTAGTGGATTTTGTATTTCAAGGTTAAAGACATATAGTATAGTAGATAATAAGGACTATGAAATTTAATAATAATCCTGGGCTAATGAAAGAAACAGTGTCTTACAAGGGATAAGAACATGATCAAACTTCCAAAGAACTCAAAAGAACTGGCTACCTATACAAGGCTACTTATGAAAGGCTTCACTGAGTTATGCCTAATGAAGATGACTAAGGATGTATCAAGAAGCTTGAGGCTATAATGTTACATGAAATAAATCAGACACATCAGCTTAAATAATGCCTGGTTTCTCTTATATGTGACGTTCAAGGTTTAAATAAAGAGCA